CTTTGTCTTCAGCGGTTGCCTTTACACTGATTTATAATCCATACTGAAGGCTGCGTCCTTAATTGTCATCAGCAAGTGCTTTAAGCAAGCGAGATTGTGTCATCTCCATACCACAAGTTGTTAAGCAACCTGCCTCCAATCCTGATGTTGCGGTCTTCTGAGTACAGTCCACCTTTTCAGATTATGTGTTCACCGTATAGACTGAATCTGTATAGTGAGAGGATACAACCCTGCCACACACCTTCCCTTGTTTTAAACCACCCAGTATTCCAGGTACAGGTTCTTCATGAACACAAAGAAGGGTTCTGGAATTCCTACTCTTTTCTATGTTAACTGTAAGCTTGTTGTGAACCACACAGTCAAAATCCAATTCATAGTCATTAAAATACAAGTAAACATCTTTCAGGTATTCTCTGCTTTCACTCAAGATCCATCTGGCATCAGTTATGATATCCGTTGTCCCATATTGTTTTCTGAATCCACCTTGAATTTCTGGCAGCTCCCCATCAATGTACTGCTGGAATTATTGTTGAGTGATCTTCAGCAATATTTTGCTTAATGTGATATTAATGATACCATTCAATAATTTCCATACTTTGGTGGGTTATCTTTCTTTGGAATGGGTACAAATATGGATCTCCTCCAGCTTGTTGGCTAGGTAGCTGTGCTCAAATTTCTTGACTTAAATGAACGAGTGCTTCCAGTGCTTCATCAGCTTGTGGAAACATATCAATTGATTTTTTTGGTCAATTCCTTGAGCCTTGTTTTTCATTAATGCCTTCAGTGTACCTTAGACGTCTTCCTTTAGTACCATAGGTTTTTGATCATATGCTACCTCTTGAAGTGGTTGAATGTTGACCTGTTCTTTTTGGTCCATGCCTCTGTGCATTCCTTCCATCAACTTTTGACGCTTACTGCATCGTTCAATATAGTGCCCATTAGCTGATGCTAGGGGCTCGAGTGTAAAGCAGATGTTTTGAGAATGATGGCAACAAATATGCAAATGTGCTTGACACAATGGATGGATCTATGGATTGTGAAAAGTGTTGTACGAGCCCCCAATAAAGTGATTATACATAGATAGATAGATAGATAGATAGATAGATAGATAGATAGCCCACTTAATTTTTTACTACCGAATCTCAGGCTTAAATTTTTTCTCAGTCCTTTCAGCTTGAAATATGCTACGGTGTTCTTCCATTTGTGCTAACTCCAGGTCTTTTTACATTTTATTATAATACTTTATCTTCTTTAACTGCTCTTTGAAATTACCTATTTAGCTCTTCTACTTTTAGTGACTACATTTCAGTGCAAGTTTCAGAGTTTCCTCTGATACACACTTTCATGTTTTCTTTCACTTTAGTGACCTTTTGTTCTTCACATGATGTTCTGGATGTCATCCCATAGCTCATCAGGTCTTTGTCATTCATTAGTATTCAGTCTGTGGAATCTGTTCTTGATATGTTCTCCAAATTCAGGTGGAATATACTCAAGATGGTGTTTTAGCTCTTGTTGACCTGCTTTAATTTTCTTCAGCTCCAAACTGAACTTACATATGAGCAACTGATGGTCTGTTCCACACTCAGCCTCTAGTCTCATTCCGGCTGCTAATACTGAGCTCCTCATTGCCTCTTCCTGGAAATGTAGTTAATTTCATTTCTGTATGTGCCATCTGCTGAGGTCCATGTGTACAGTCAAGTTTGAATAAGGATCAGGCGGTCCACTTCTGAGAGATTATACTGAAAACTCTATGAACAGTAGAAAGTTATTAAATCAGTATTTGCTGACTTTAGAACAGTAACCTATTAGCTCTGTGGGTGTTTAATATTTAAGACTAATAAAGCCAATACCTATTAGCATTTATATTACTACCATTTCAATCCAAACAATCGGGCATGGTGAGTTTAGTCATTTACCCACCTTTGTTTACCTCTTTACCTATGTTTAAGAATTTATACCTCTCCATGTTCAAAAAAAGGACCACTGGTACTGCGGCGGGTTAAGCACTGCCCATATCAGCAAGGCCAGTGGTTCAAACTCATCAGCTGCTCAATGGGAAGGAGAAATGACTGTGTTCTCATGGAAATTTAGTCTCAGAAACGCTATGGAGCAGGTTGATTCTGTCCTATGAGGTCACCACTATGTGTTGTAGTCAGCTTGACGGTAGTGGATAGGGTAGGTAGGTGCCAAAAATAATTTAAATCAGCTGGTTATCACACTATATTTACTCTGAAAGATCAAAATGTCTCTATAGGGCATTCTACAAACTCCCAGCCAGTATGCTTCAATAACCCGAAGATGGAGAAACGGCCAGGGACCAGAAGAAGCAAGACAACTAACCACAATGTGGCACCTGAAGTGGATTCTGGAAAAGAATGAGTATGTCGATAGAAAAATTACTAAAACACAAATCAATTCTACAGTTCAGTTATGGCTAATGCACTAATGTGGATTTCTTAGTTTTAACTAGGTATCAGGTTTAAGAAGGGGGGTGAGGGTATCCAGGAACTCTCTGTACTAACTTTCCAACTTTTCTATAAATATTAACTGTACTATCCATTGTATTATCATCATATATAACAAAGTTTATCTAAACTATCCAACACCTCCATGCAGAAATTTGCTGTAGCTGAACCACAGATGGTCATTTATTCAGAGTAAAGCAGAGTGTAGATCACTGCCCAACTCACTGCTTTGAGTTACATACTGAGGGGCCTTCATCAGGTTTGTGGGAACATTCCATTATCTTTAATTCTTGCTTTCTTTCCTCAGACGAAGCAGACCGGCAAACTCATTGCCATCCCATTGATCCTGAATCAACAGGCACGCTGCAGAACAGAGCAGAACTGCCCGAGTGGGTTTCTGAGATGGTAAATCTAACAGGAGTAGAAAGCCCCCTCTTTCTCTTGTGGAATGGCTGGTGGTTTCACAGCTGCCCAACACATAACCCACTACATAGCACTTCACATTTTCAACCACAGGGTAATTTAAAAATATCTAAACAGGTGTACATACTCAGTCTAACACCACATTAATTCGACATGCAACTCTGTAGGGACAGTGTCACCTGCCACATTTGCTCTGGTTAGGTGATGTCTTATGCATTTAGAAGCTCCATTTTTGTATTAAAACCTGCTTCTGTTTAGCTGATTCTGACTCACAGGGACCCTTTAGAACAGAGAAGAACTTCCCTCCAGAGCTTCCAAGACTGGCTTCAGGGGAGCAGACAGCCTCATCTTTCACCTAGGGAGTGGCTTCAAAGTACTAACCTTTGGGTTAGCATCCAAGCGCTTAACTATCATGCCACCAGGGCTCCTTATTTGCCTATTGGGTGTGGACTTTTCTGAGGCTCAGAAGCCTAAACCCCACCCACTGCCCTGTCTGTATGAGGAGGCGAAACAAAAGTTCATCTGTTACATCTTGTCATCCGAAAAACAGTTTTTATCCAATGCAGCCAGTATCAATACTCCAGTGTGGCCAGTATTTCAGAAACAGCTGCCAGACATCATGCACACATCTTCTGCTGTTTTACAAAGTTATATACTGACTCATTCATTTGGCAAATAATTGCATCACCAAGTAGCACATGAAGCACACTGGACTTAGATACCAAATAGGATTATAAATTTAAAGAGATGAAAATAAATTCCATTGTGATGGTCTGGAACCCTAGAGGGGTTTCATCATAAGCACCCCCAATACCCAGGCACTAAATACTGCAATCCAGCCCAGCAGTTCTCAACCTTCCTAATGTGTGACCCTTGAATACAGTTCCTCATGTTGTGGTGACCTCCCAACCATAAAATTATTTTCATTGCTACTTCATAACTGTAATTTTGTTACTGTTATGAATCAGGCAACCCTTGTGAAAGGATCATTCGACCCCCAAAGGGGTCACAACCCACAGGTTGAGAACCACTGAATTAGATGAAGCTTTATCCATGAGATTGAAAGCAAAAAAACAAACCTCACAGTCTTAAACAATTGTTTTATAAATGAGGCTTTAAGATATCCATAGATACAGTATTTGAAATGTCAGCAATTATTTATTTCATTTGTTTTACTGGTATGGTTTCCACTAAACACACACACACACACACACACACACACACACACGACTTCATAGTAACATTCATCAGTCGCAAGGATGAACAGTCAAACTAAGATACAAAAAACAATTAAGCCACCCAAAATGCAGAATAAAGGTGAGCCAGGGATGGCACATGGTTTGTCTGCTTCCAAGGAAAAACAGAAGGAAAAGTTTTAAGAATTCTCTATTTTGAGGTTTTATAATTTTCTTGCCCAATCAAGCCCTTAAATATTCTCAATCTCATTTTTCTTATCTGTGACATTAGGATCACCAGTCTACCCAGTGAATATTTTTCCTGGTGTGTATGTTACAAAATCTGGCAAATAAAACACTTATTAAAAAACTTTTCAGCCAAAACTAGCTTTTAAATACTAAAAATTGTTAGCCATTGGCAATAAATTACATCTTTAAAAATTCATATGTTTACTATATTTGGAAACCGGGTAAAGCAGAAAATAACTTTTAGGTAGGTAGAAATGGAAAAGAATTGTTGGGCAATGCTTACTTACCTTGGAGACTTGTCGAAGCCACCTTAAATACTCTGTGAAAGTATCAAAACAAATGTAGTAAGTCTGGCTCTGGGGTCCAGAAGAGCTAAATGCTAAACAGTGCTGGTGCTTTTTCACTTCTTCTACCTGTAAAAGCAGAGAGACAAACAAAAGTGAATAGGAAAAGTCAGTAACACATTTCATCATGTAACTGGAATCAGTGAGTCATTTCAGATTTGCATCTTTACCATAGTAAGGTTCCTTAGAACTTCAAACACCTAAGTTTCTAAGAGAGACCCACCAATGTGAATGACAAAGAAGCCAAATGGGGATCTTGTCTGTTTGTTTGTTTTTATTAATTTCCCCACCATGAGGGTATTCTCGTCTTCTTAGTTAAAATGCAAGTAGAATGGAATGTTTACAATTCTTATCCTTCTACCCTCAGAAAAGAATTCTCCTGTTAGGGGAAGTTTTACATCAGGGGGACTTTTGTGCTACTCTAAATGACAAGCTTTTTAAAAAGCGGTCTTCGTGTGTGTGTGTGTGTGTGTGTGTGTGGGTGCGCGCGCACACATACACACATATGATCAGTCTGGTGAAGCATTCTACCGAAGTCCTCAATGTAACAATATAGCCCAGTCGAAAGTCCACTCCAGTAAATTCTTCACTAGCAGGGAAATCCTAACAATAAAGCAATGTAAGTATTACATAAACTTCCACTTTCACTTACCAATGTGATCACAAACCAAGTCACAAAGAAAATATTTTCCAAAAAAATTAAACTTTAAAAATACTAGACTGCTCTCAAATCACAGCATAAAGTACCAATTAAAAAATGACAAATTTAACTTATTCATGTTCAGTAGTATATACAGTGACTACCCACATTTTCTAGATCTCATCTACATTAGAGGGAACCTGCTATCCCACTTTTAGTGCAAGATGCCATCTGGTGGGGGCCTGTACAAAGTAAGTGTGTCTGAAGTAATAGGTCTTATTGTACCGATGCCAGCACCAGAGACCCCTGGGACACATATACCCAATTAATTGTATCAGAATCCATTATTAGCTCTCAAAAAAATTGTTTTTCATCTTATTTAAAACGCCTTCCATTACAAAAAACATATGGTTTCAATAAGAAATTCAAAGTGTAAAAAATTTGGTCTTGAAATTAAAGAAAACTATTAACACACATCTAAATAACTTGTGAATAAAAATAGGAATCATAATCAAATATTTTTAACTTTTGAAACAGCAATTATAAAAATAATACATATGAAAATGTGTGGAGTGTTAATATTTAGAAAGAGATATTCTTAAAAATTCATCCTAGAAAACAAGGCAAAAAAATAATTTTGTAGGTAGGCATGTGTCTCAAGAATCTGGGGGAGGGCGTGTGGGACTCAAACCAAAAACAATAAACTCAAAGTACAATGAAGGTAATGACAAAGATAGGAGTATAAATTAACAAAATTAAAAAGAGGCAACAACGAACATTAACAAAGTTCTTTGAACAGAAGTAATAAAATTGGTCTATCTGGCAAGTACTACCAGGAAAAGACAGAAGAGATATGAATAATATTAACAATACAAAGGAGTATGACCATAGATACAGCAGATATTTGGCATGCCCTCAGAAAAAAAGATAGTTTATAAAAATTAAATTAAAGGGATAAAAGGCCTTAATAGTAACACAGCCATTTAAGAAATCAAATGAATGCTTTAAAAAAATACATTCTTAGTAATCAGGTCCATAAAGTTTTACAGGTGCATTTTACAAAGTTTCAAGGAACAGATCGTACAAAACTCTACAAACTCATTCCCAAATAGCAAAAGAAAAAAAGAAGTTGTTGGGGGTTGGGGGGGGCGCCCAGGTATAATACTCACTTTTTCGAAGCCAGTATAAATAATAATGTATTATAATAAAATGGAAAGTTACAGTACAACTTCAGTTATAAAGACCTCTCTTAAGCAAAATGTTGCATTAAGATTCCAATAGTCCAGGAAAAAGTGTATATATTATCAAGGTGAATACATCTAAGGAAATCTAAGAATAGCTTAACACTTTTAAATGAATAAAATCATTTAGCACACTAAAAAAAGAAACCATATCTGATGCCTGTTACCCGGTCCCATCAATACCTCATAATCACACAGGCTGGTGTGCTTCTTCCCTGTGGGCTTGTTGCTTCCCTGCTAGATGGCCGCAGGTTTGTCTTCACGCCTTTAAGCCCCCAGATGCTGTATCTTTTGACAGCCTGGCACCATATTCTTTCTTCACCACATTTGCTTATGCACCCATTTTGTCTTCAGCGATTGTGCTGAGAGGGTTAGCATCACAGAAGGCCAGGTTGTTAGAACAAAGTGCTCTTGCATTGAGGGAGGGCATAAGCAGAGGTCTGAAGTTCGTCCACTACACCTCAGTGTATTGCTTTATAAATACATGTACATAGGCCAATACCTCTATTTTTATAAATTAAAGTAAAAAAACATATTGTTGAGAACAAGGGAGTCAGAGCAGAGACCCAAAACCCATCTGTAGACCATGGGACATCCCCTCACAGAAGGGTCACAAGGAATGGATGAGTCAACCAGGGCACAGTATAGTACCAATGAAACGCAATATTCCTTTGGTAACTTGAGGCTTCCTCACCCCCCACTATCATGACCCCAGGCCTGCCTAGACTAGACCAGAGCATGTGCACAGGGACATATAAGAGATAAAGAGTTCACAACACACGGAATCCAGGAACAGGAATGGGAGCAACGATACCAGGAGGGTAGGAGGGAAGTGGGGAGATAAGAGGAGGAAGAGGGAACTAATCGCAATGATCAACACATAATGACACATATCCACTTCTCCCACCTCCCCCAGGGGGATGAACAACAGAAATAATGGAGGAAGGGAGACAGTGCTCAGTTTAAGATATGAAAATATTAATAATTTGTGGGAGGGGAGGGAAGAAAAAAAGAGGAGCTGATACTACGGGCTCAATAGAAAGTGAATGTTTAGAAAACAAGGATGGTAACATATGCACAAATATGCTTGGTACAAGTGATGTATAGATTGTTATAAGAGCTGTAAGAGCTCCCAATAAAATGATCTTTAAAAAAGAAACCATATAACTATACCCAAAATTACCCCCAAAAAACGCACTTGATAATCATTATCACTCATGACAAAAACTCTTGGCAAACTAGGGAACAAAGTAATTCCTTAAGGTGACTAAGGGTAACTATCAAATATCTAAGGCAAACACCACTGTTAGTGATGAAATATAATTCAACATTGTACTAGAGTTCTGGCCATTACAAAAAGACAATTTTATAAGGAAATTTTTTTAAAGTTATGTTATGATTAGCAACATAACAAACTCAAAAGAACAAACATTATACCAAGAGTCTCCAAAAAGTTCATTAAAAATGCATGATATGAAAAACTATGCCCCCAAATAAATCTGTATTAACCTGTTATGGCTAAACAGGATCTAGTGTGAGGTACAAGCTAGAGGACAAGACATTAATTTGAAAAGAGTCCCCACCAGAGCAACATATTTTCTGCAAAAATTAAAGCAAGAGCAAACATCAAGTTACGGTGAAATTGGGCTCAGTGAATGCCAAACTGGTGCACTCAGGTCAGGTGCAAAGAAAGTAAAAACCAAAACAGAACTTTCAAAGTAAAATTTTTTAATGTGGGGTCAAGCATTTCTTGGAAAAATTTTGACAGGAAATAAAATAAGACTTTACTAGTACAATCTTGAAATCAGAGTAATGGCTATCAAGAAATGAATGTGGTCTAGTTGTTAGGCAGCTAGATTTAGAGAAAGGGGGTTGATCCTCCCAGGTCTGCAAACGCCCCCTAGAGGAGGCTGGAAGGAAATCAGGTGACCATTAGAAGCCTATGAAGACCCCAAACTCCTACTCAAACTCCTACTCCAAGCCAGGTGGGAGGCACACCTGAGTGGGCCAAACTAGGCCCAGGCTCAGGTGGGCTTAACCCAGCCAATGGGGCCAACTAATAGCATCAACCACGTCTCCCCAGCCAGAGGCTTGAAATGTCCTAGTTGTGGGAAGGCCATTCTCTCTTCTGCCCTGTTCCTGGTCAGAGGCAGGTCCGAAGGTGGGGGCACACACATATGCTGCCTGGGCATTCCCCCTTCAGGGCCCACTCTGGGCTGCTAGAGACTCTCTCTCCCGTCCCTGCTGTGGTCACAGCACTCTTGCCCTGCCATCTAGTCCCCTCGCTCTCTGCCCACCCACCCCAACCCCCCATTCCGCATGTGGGGGTGCTCTTTTCAACGAGGTTGTTCATGCCCAATTGTGAGCCCCTTTGAGACTGTAAAACCTGAAACTTGTCCTGTACTTCATAAAAACTCATTTGGATTACAAAACGGGCTTCGCAGTGAATTCTTTCATCATTCAAGGCCAAGAACCAAGGTATTACCCACTCGAGAAACGTTACATAGTCTCTGGAAAGACTGCCTGGTCAAGAGCAAGGTCATGGCAACAATTTGGGGGGATGTTCAAGGCATTTTGCTTGTTGACTTTCTGGAGGGCCGCAGAACAATAACAGTGGCTTAATAGGAGAGTGTTTTGAGAAAGTTAGCCAAAGCTTGAGCAGAAAAACGCCTGAGAAAGCTTCCTTCTCCACCATGACAATGCTCCTGTTCATTCCTCTCATCAAACAAGGGCGATTTTGTGTGTTTCAATGGGAAATCATTAAGCAACCAACCACCTTCCAGTTCTGATTTGGCTCCTTTTGACGTCTTTGTTTCCCAATCTCAAAAGAACTTTAAAGGAAACCCATGTTTTCTTCCATTAATAATGTGAAAAGCACAGTACTGGCATGGTTAAAATCCCAAGACCTCTCAGTTCTTTAGAGATGGACTAATAAACATGAAAATTTAGCAAGGTGGCTGGACATAAGACCAAGATTCAAAATCACCTGTACTTCTTCACCCAGAGTGAGACCCTCCTGCCTCTTCCCTAGCTGAAGCCAAGAAACAGCATGTTTTACAAATGTTAAAAATACAGGAAACCAGCGCCTCCATCAGGCTGGGGCTTCTATGAAAGGAAGTCCCCACCCCCACCAACCACAAGGACAGATAGTGTAAGCAAGGAATACATGGTGTGTGAAGTCATTGAGATGGGGTGCAATGACTTCACACAAATACAGCATAACCTGGCCCAGGATGAATGACACACAATTCCATCATGGCACAATGAGAATGCTCCCACAAATTACCGAGTGCCTCCTGAGGCACAGCAGCCCTAGCAAAGAACTACTGTCCTGGGAAAGCTACTTGTTCACCAGGAAATGTATACACCCAGGAATACGTACAGCAGCACTATTCATAATAATACAAACTGAAAACAATTCACATCCATCAACAAGAAAATTGGTGAAGAAAGCATGGAATGTTTACATGTATATAACAACATGGAACCTTATTATGGAGCATGATATTGACTGGAAACATTTCATCCCAGAAAATATTTTGTATACAGATCAAAAATAAGCAAGTTATAGTTATGTACTAAATTTTCTTCAAAGACGGAAGAATATGATAAGCATTCATTCAAGGGCAGGACTACCTCTAGATTCGAGTTAGAGAGACAGCGGCACAGATGTAAAGAAAGCACAAGTAGGAACATCAGTACTGATGCAGGGAGAGCTACTCAGCTGGAGAAGATGACAGCAGTCCAACTTTATGAGGCTTTATAATTTAGCAAATCTTAAATAAAGTACTACTTAAAATAAGTTAATTTACTGTCTAGACATTTGCATGTTATATCCTAAAGGAGAAATTTAATACAGCACAGTAATTACAAATAAACAAAAACTTATCTAGTAAAAAAATTTTCAGCAATGCAATTTAAGAGTCTTATTAAAATTTGATTTTGGAATTTTGCATTTGAAAATATTGACTAATAACTATGCCAAAGCCATATGTCACATTTGATTACTTAGTGATTAGAGTCAGGCTATGGCCTATCTCACACCTAACAAATTAATCTCACACCGAAAGACAAACTTCCCATTCTACTCTCTGGGTGAGACAGATGGTAAAGTGCTCAACTGTTAATCCCACCAAGGAACCCAAGAAGAAAGGCTTGTTATGTAGATCAACGGGCCCCAAAATCCAGTCAAGGGAGATCCAGTGCTAGCCTGACACACTAGGGTTGCCATATTCAACGGTTGTAGACATTTGCGAAAGCTTAGATTAGAGTGAATTATTTTTGTGGAACTCAAGACAACAGGTTTTAAGAGAGTGAAGTTTTCAATGGACTCAATTATTTCAAAGGCACAGCCCAAACAGGTTTTACAGGGTTTGCTTGTGAAAAGAGGAAGTTATTAACTTTCAATCCACTCAGTGCTAGACAGCCCATCTGATTGCAGGCTTGGGCACCTAGGGCCTGGGAATCAGGACAAGTCTCTAAGCTCTCAATAAAAATGTTAATTAAACTCGATCTCCTGACCTTATCTGAACATTCCCCAGGCTTTCCTGCCTGTGTCTCTGTGCATAATAATCTTTCTGACCATCTCCTTCATGTATCAAAAGATGACTCACCAGTCAAGCTCTACATAATTGACACCTCCTCCGTTACAAAGTTTCTGATCCCCTCTACTAAACATAATTTCCCACAGTGCCTTTCTGAACCTCTCTTGAAACAGATGTTACTGTATCCATCCTCCATCGCTTGATACTACATAATGAGCTGGTCAAGGACAGGAATAGCATGGGGGTGGTACCTTTCTTGGTATTTCCAGATGCCACGAACACTGCCTTCCCCACAGAGGCTATTTTATTATTAAACAAACAAACAAAAATACCAAACCAAACCCACAGCTGCCGGGTCAATTCTGACTCATCGTAACCCTGTCGGAGTAAAACTGCTCCATAGGTTTCCAATGTTGAAATCTTTAGGAAAGCAGATGGCCACACCTTTCTCCTACAGAGTGATTGGTGGGTTTAAACCACTGACCTTGAGATTAGCAGCTAAACTCTAAACCACTGCAAAGCTAGGGCTCTTTTGGGAATAGGTATCCCACAAAATAAACCCACTAGTTATCTCAAGTCAATTTTGACTCAGAAATGACCTTACACAATAGAGTAGAACAGGTTGCTGTTTCCAAAACTGGAAATCTTTACAGCAGCAGGCAGCCTCATCTTTCTCTCACAGTGTGGCTGGTGGATTCAAACCGCTGACCTTGAGGTTAGCAACCCAATGCTTATTAAGAGTTACATTTAATTTGCCTATACAAATGCCTAACTTCATAGAAAGAAGAGAGAGGGATTGCGAGCTTGTCAGGTCATGCTATGTTAAACATGCATTTTTAGTGATTAACATGCATTTTTAGTGATTAACATGTTTAGTATTAACGATGATGACTAATTTCTTAGTAATCCATCTGAAAGGCAGGCTCTCAACAGAAAGTATCAGTCATAGAGTCTCTCCTAATCAGAGAAAAGGTGAGGAACAATGGTCTCAACGGGGATGACTTCATAAAACAGGCCCGCAAGTAACTGGCAGCTTTTCTGAAGCTTACAGCTTCTCGAGACAAGAATGTCCAATCACAGAGAAGGAAAGTTGGCCCGGGCTATTTACTTACAGGGAAAGACGAGTTTAAACTCGAAATGAAGGATGGTCCCGCTGCACAGCAGGTGAGCAATAAAACCATTTATTACCGCACACACATCCGGCCGGACCTTGTTCACTCCTAATCCCTTGAATCGGCACATCAGAGTCATCAGTTTTCAAAGTTTCCCCGAAGAAGCAACAACTGGTTTTTTCCATCTCTTCTCTGTATGTTCCCCACCTGCTTACTTTGATATGCTTATTCAGAGGGCAAAAAATGTTTATATAACATGTCCCCAATTTCTAACAATCCATTTTCTCACCCAACTCTGCCTTCCCGTGTACTCATCAGGGAGTAATGACATACAATTAGGATAAAGCTGCCTCTTCCACCATGGGGGGCAAAGGAAGGCATGCAGCATTTTCCCAAGCACTATGGTTTTATAAAGGAGAGCAGTGAAAGAGTTAACATGCCCAAAGAAAAGCAGCTAGTAAAGGCAGAAATTTCTCTGGCTGGCTAAATCATGTTCCCTCAGAAATGAAGAACATTTCGGGCCCCAAAACCTCCCCCTGCCACCATGTAACAGCTCAAAACAACTAGGCTGGCACCTAACACAGAGGTCGGGCAAAGAGGGCTCGGAAACTTCAGAACTGCACAAACCTAACCACTGTGCCCAGGAGGAGGGACTGACACCCACTCTTGTCGGGGCATTTCTGACTTAAAACCTGTGGGTAGGATGGAATAGAACTGCTCCCTGGGGTTTCCAAGGCTGTAAATTGACAAGAGCACACTGCCTCTTCTCTCTCTCCTGGAGCAGCTGGTGGGCTGAGGCTGTAAATCTCTATGGTAGCAAACTTCTACATCGCTCTCCTGAGGAGCAGGTAGTGGAAGCGTATCACTGGCCCTTCGATTAGCAGCTCAAAGCTCAACTCAAGAGGGACTGTTGTAATACACCACATAAACATGCTCAGGATATAAAAAACCATGAACATATCACAGAGCTTAGAATTAGCAGTGAAAGTCAACTAGAATGTGAGCCAATGCCGTGGTTGTCTCCCACACTTGCTCACTAGTGTAGCACGAGAGCTAGAAAAGACTTTATGGATGACTCAGTAACCATCTTCCCACGACCAGATAAACGGGCCCACGTGAGCGCCTTCACATGCCAGAAAAGCAACATGTTCAGGCTCAATGGGTCAAGAAGCCAGCAATCTGATTGCTTCAAACTTACTTTTCCACCAATTAGCGGCAGGACGTGCATCTTTCCCGTCATGCTGTCTTTCACAGATGACACTATCAGGCAGGTCCCACACAAGATGACTTGGCGTCTCGTCCATCGGTTCACTGGCAATTGCATTTTGCCTTTCCGGACATTATACATTCCTGAGAGTTGAATCCGCTCCCAGCTGCCAGTGCTGTGAGGTTTACCTGAAACAAGCACAAGTAGACATTTTAGTCTTAAAAGAAACTGGCTTTTCTTCTACTCGTCTGCATACTAAATGAATTACTTCGACAAGAGAGAATAATTATATAGGTACAGCATCTAATCTTATAATTGAGAGAATCCAAGACACGCCATACTGCAACGCATGGTAAAATCTGCTCACCACTCCCCAAGTGCAGGTTCCCAAGGAGTAAAGACCAGGGTATCTCCTGCAAACCCAAGGAAGAGACTGCTGTATTTTTCTTCCCAGTTAATGTTCATTATGAATTGGATGATGGTTTACAGAAAAAATCAGCTCTCCATTCAACAACTCACACACATTTTGTTGCACGGTTGCAATCCCTAGACGCTAACAGCACTAGCTCCACTTATTCCTTGTTTCCTGTTTCCATTTCTCTTCCTTTCCAACCCTTCTGAACTTTGTCCTTGAGTAAAGCCTACCCTTTGAGCTCAAATGGTTGATAGTTCTAAAGAATATGTTATTTCCCTGGTGTTACTGTTCCCCTCATAGTCTATTGTTTGGCTGAAAATTGAGTGGATGAGAGGCGAGGTCATGTCCAGACCTGAAAGGGCCTTTATCTCAGGGGTTCCACCAGGATCCATGGTCTCTTTTTGTAATTGAGTCATGTTCCACATTTCTCACCCATTATATACAGAACCGCCTAAGGTGATCCTGTTCAGAGCAATTGGTAGTGATAGCTGGGCACCATCTAGTTCTCCCAGTTGAGAAGGTTGATGTTAGCATGGTCCATTAGTCCACGGGACTGGTTCCATGCATCTTTGATTTTAATCATTCTTTTTCCATTCTAGACAAGAAAAGACCTATAGTTGCATCTTGGATGGTCCCTCACAAGCTTTCACTATCCCAGTACTACTTATCAAGGTAGGGTGTAGAACACTGTCGTTGTGGACTATGCTGTGCCAACTGACCTTGATGTCCTCTACCACCATGGTCCTGAGTCCTCCAAATGCATGACTCGTTCCCTCAGGGTATTTGGTTATATCTATAATTTTTTCCTAACTTTACCCCTATAAGCTCCACTAGATTCATAGATATAATCTCAGCATAGGTAAAGACATCTGTAGAAAGATACCAAACCTACGTACATTCAGTCATCACTATGGATTACAACTGAATGTAAAGAAAAACAAATTCTTCACAACTGGACCAACGCGTAACATCCTGATAAATGGGGGAAAGACTGAAGTTGAACTTTGCAATGAATATCTCGTTGTTGTTTTGATTGGCATCTCTCTAATGGCTACTGGGGCTGGAACATTTCTTCATATGGTTGTTAGCCACCTGGTGTCTTTTTTGGTAGTTTATGTTCATGAGCTCTGCCCATTTTTAAAAAAAATCATTTTATTGGTAGCTCATACAGCTCTTATAACAATCCATACAGACATCCACTGTGTCAAGCACTTTTGTACATTTGTTGCCATCATCAATTTCAAAACATTTTTTCTATTTGAGCCTTTGGTATGACCTCTTTTTTTCCCCTCCCTCTCCCACCCTCTCTCCCTCATGAATCCTTGATAATTTACAAATTATGATTTTTTTAATGCCTTATACTGACTGATGTCTTCCTTCACCCACTTTTCTGTTGTCCATCCCACTAGGAGGGGGTTATATGTATATCATCGTGATCGGTTCCCCCTTTCTTCCCCCACCTTCCCATTCCCCTCCTGGTATTGCTACTCACAGTATTGGTCCTCAGGGATTTTTCTTCTCTGCCCATTCTTAATTATTGGACTTTTTGTTGATGAGATGCTGGCGGATAAAAACTATATGCGATGGATAAAAACTATTTATCCATCTGATATGCGATGGATAAAAACTATTTTTTCCAGTCTCGGTTCTATTTTTACATTGTTGGTGCAAATTTTTAAGGCACATAAATGGCTACCGTCAATGAAGTCCTATTCATCTAGCTTGTCTTCTGATTTTTGTGTGTTTCCAGTTATATTTGTTACTGTGTTTTTGCCATGTATTACGGCCCCTAAGTTTGGGATGTATCTCTTTTACCTTGTTTTAATTTTCCTCTGTATCTTTGACAGTTTTGCATTTAAAAACAGATAAATTCAAGATTACGGATGGCTTTATTAAGTAAACATATGAAAAGAAAATGCTATAAACTCAGATTGGAAAACAACATCTAGCATTTAATGAAACTAACCAATTTTACTAGAATAAGCTTTTATTTTTCCTTCTACAAGTATTTGATGTATATAGAATAATAAAGGAGATAGAACAAATAAGTAACTTTTCTAATAAGAAAATAAGACTCTATCCCCATAGAACAGAATCTGAAAGACAAGCGTCGCACCACTGCATGAGAGATGGTTCTGGACGTGCCATGCTTGTGATGTACGGAGGAGATACAAAGAAGAGGCAGCAACGCACACACTGACACACACACACACAGGAAGGGAGGGAGAGAGATTTTTTTATTCTTTAGTCTGAAAAATCCCCACGATTTCTCAAGAGGCCTCAATAGTCCTGCAGCCAAATGATGAGATCAGTCTGTTCTTGGTAAGTCCTAAGTATCCAAACTGAAATCAAAGCCCTCCTCTCTTGTTCTGGGTACATTTCAATACCCTTGTCTGTTCTCCACCAGTGTTCCAGATCAGGCACACCCTCAGGCACTCGGCTGAGAACCAGGGGCTCGGGAGATGGTACTTCATCTGGAGATGAAGGAAGCAGTGTGTGCCCTTCTTTATGGCAGACGTCTTATTCCAGCACTAAGGAATGCTAGAACTAACCCTCCATATAGCTCTCGAAGTTCTCAGTTCTGAAAAGGTGCCGTTCGTGTATGTTCTAAAAAACACCCGTTTCTGGCTAGTTTAAAGCTGGGTCAGTTATAAATTTCACTTTAGAAAGGTTAGTCTGCTCCCTACAGGTGTAAGGTGTTGCTGAATCCAGGAGGAAAGGGAAACAACAGCAACAGGTGATGCTGGGATAGACTATGGATGTGAGTGATTCACACACATGCACATTTTTCTCCCACTGGGCACGTCATAAGTAAGGTGCTCACTATTAAACTACCGACGATGGCCGGGAGGTGATGGAGCCCTAGAAAAGGCTGTGGGGGCATTCTCCTCCACCACAAGGAGTCGCTGAGTTGGAATTTGACAGCGCACGACAAAGATGACAAATGACCAACTGTGGTGAACATCTCATGAACTGAGTGGCCACCTAACACAATTTTTTGCTGAAGTGACCATTCAAATCTTTTATGACAACTTGATTGTTTGAGCTCTTCATACATTCTGGATACAAGTCCTTTGGGCAGATAATATGGCTCATAAATACATTGGGCCAGGCTAGGGCTTGACTTTTCATTTTCCTGACAGTGCTTTGGCAGACAAAAGTCTTCCATGTCAGTGAAGTCCAAAACTTTTTTTCTTTCACGCTGAGCATTGTACATGATCGTTTGAAATCTCTCTGATTTCCTCCACCTGTCTTCTTGGTGTGTTACAGCTTACACTGTTGCATGAAGTCTGTGATTCACTTTTGAGCTAATTTTTTAAAAACAGAAATAAGGGTACAAGTTCAATACTGGGCTTTTGCTGCTGTGTGTGTGTGTCTTTCTAAATTATTTCAGGGCCATTATTGAAAGGGTGATCCCTTCACTGCTGCACTACCTTGGCAGCTTGACCAAAACTCAACTGACCGTCTATATGCACGGGAGTCCACTTCCAAACTATTTTTGCTATTCCAGTGATCTGCCTGTCTGGTAAACCAATACCACAATATCTTGGTTACTGAACCATTATAATTAGTCTTAACATCAGGGAGCTGGAGCCTACCTCTATGAAGAATGAGAGTTTGCATTCTTCCTTTCCAATCTGGATACCTTTTCTCCCTCCTTACTGCAGTTTCTAGAACTCACACATTTGGCATATTGTCTTATGAGTTTCCACCAGTTCAAACTACTTTATTTCTGTTTTATATCTTCTTTGACACAGTTGTTTTAGAAGTCTATAGTTAAATTCCCAAGGTTTTGAGAATTTCCCAGAGACATGCGGTCCCCAGGTTACAAATGTGTCTTTAATCCTATGCTTTTTAATATTCCCTGGGACGTAGCATGCCCATCTACATTTTCTACCTCTGAGGCTTAGTGGGAAACTGCTAGCCCACTTTTAGTTTGTGCAGCCATCTGATGGGGGCCAGTATAACTGTGTGCATCTGAAGAAATTGGCCTTGTTCCAGCAATGTTAGCACTAGAGACCCCTCAGGACACAATATGTCCCAATAATTATCAATTGTATCAATATGTATCAAAATCTATATTACTTCAAAAGTTTTGCTTTTTCATTTCATTCAAAATGCCTTCTACTACTGAAAACACATGGTTTCAACAAAAATGTAAAGCAGAAATTAATTTGGTCTTGAAAGGTTACATCAAATTTGTAGGTAAGTTGGAACAGAAAAGATGCATATAGTTCTTTTTTTTGTTGTTGTTTTTGTTTTTTAACATTTTATTAGGGGCTCATACAACTGTTATCCCAATCCATACACACATCAATTGTGTAAAGCGCATTTGTACATCGTTTCTCAAACCATTTTCTCTCCATTTAAACCCCTGACATTAGGTCCTCATTTTTCCCCTCCCTCCCCGCTCCCCCCTCCCGCATGAGCCCTTGATAGTTTATAAATGGGTATTTTGCATATAGTTCTTCTTTAGCTCAATTCTGTGCAAGAAAATTTTCAGTGATTTAAAAGCCGCATGTGCAAATGAGCCAGAATATTGCTTAGAGGGAAAGATGGCGAGACTTTGTCTCATGTACTTGGACATGTTGTGAGAAGGACATCATGCTTGGTAACGTGGAATGGCAGTAAAAAAGGAAAGCCCTAGACAAGCTGGACTGGCACAGTGGCTGCCTAGAGGGGCTCAAGTATGACAACAATTTTACGACGGCTCAAGGTGGGGTAGTGTTCTGTTCTGTTGTTCACCGGGTAGCTGTGAGCCAGAACTGATTC